ACGAAGGTATTTATTTATTTTTATATTTATAAATATGTATAACCAATGTATATAGATATATTATTATTGTTATTGTTATTCATTTATGTTTGTAATTGCCATAATTTTTACTAGAACAAACATGTTCTACTCTTGAGTATTCCGATCTTTTTTTTTCTCTTTCTTTCTTTCTTTCTTTCTCTCTCTCTCTTTCTTGTTTTTCTTTTCATAATAATAATAATAATAATAATAATAATAATAATAATTATTATTATTATTATTATTATTATTATTATAAATATTTTCTGTATTCATATAGCCCTATCTGTCGCGCAAACGGTGACAGTGGGTTTCTCTCCTCCACTCCTGTATCGACTCTCTCTCTCTCTCTCTGTGTGTGCAAAAAGAAAATAAAAAAAAAAAAAAAATGAATACATCAGAGATTGGGGCCAACTCTTATGTACTACAGCAGGAGATGCGCGCTGTGGTGGAAGAGAAGACACGTCTTGCTGCCCAAGTTGACGAACTGCGGCGTGAGTTAGAGAAACTACAAGGGGAACAGAGAGAAAATGATAATAATAACAATAATGATAACAACATTAGCGATACTATCAATCATAGCAACAATAAGAATGCATTAGTAGGTATGGGTATTGCTGCAGCTCATATCAAGATGCTTGAGAAGGAAAACAAGATGCTTCGCGCCAAATATCTTCTTCACCTTAATAATGACCAACGAGAACAACAACAACAACAATGGATTCAGATGAATGAGTCGACATCACACTCCAATATAGAAACAGAGACTTCCATTGAGAGTGTAAAACTCTCCTCACCAGGTTTACTACGGGCTCTGCGTGATGTATTTAATCCTGGGAAATTTAAAATGCCCAACGGTGCTGTCGTCTCACTGGAGTACAAGAGTGAATATCTTGTAATTCGTGGTTCTCCATCTAATCGTTTTCAGTTCATGGCACTTCTCTTACACGCCGTGCTGAAATATATGAATACAGCAGTACATCCAGAGCCTCATCATCCCACTGCATATAATAAAAATATGAATAGAGTTCCCCAACAAGAGACATTAGAAGATGTGAAGATGAAAGAAGAAAAGGAAGAAATAATAAATGCCCTGCGCCGGGCAATAGATGTGGAACGTGTAGAACGTGAAAAGGCAGAAATGGCGCGGAATAGTGCGGAACATGAGTGTACATTGAAAGAGGCACTTCTCCGCAGTGAACGTGATCGTTGGAAGCAGCAACGATATCAGCTAGAAAAGCGTATAGAGAAGTTGGAACAGGAAGTAAAAGGAAGAAGAGACTCATATCATGATGGACACTCTTCTATAGAAAGAAAATTATCACAACAACAACAACAACAACAACAGTTAAATCATAGTCCATCTATGGCTATGAAAACAAACATTCCTCATCATGATACGTATCTTGATGACCTTATCGAACAAAGAGAATCATCCTTATCCTCTTCCTCCTCCTCTTCATCTTCATTATTATTACTATCATCACCAACTCAGCAGCAGCAACAACAAGAAGAGGAAAAAGAGGAAAAGAGTGGGATATATGTACTTCGTACGCCTTATCGTAGTCGTAGTAACAAGAAACATGTTACTCTTGCTGTTCCCATCACAGAGACTACATCGGATGAAGGAGATCTCATTATCCTTCAACGGGAGAAGGAGTTACTACGGAATGAGAAGAAACGTCTATTGCAGCAAATAGAGAGTATTCAAAATCTTGCCCAACAACAACGTGATCGTTTACAGAGTATTGAGACTGCGGTATCTCAATTGTGTCGTCGTGTTTTGAGTACAAGTGGAGTGGCAGCAGCAATGATGAATGAAACGCAAATCCCATTAACAATATCCAATAAATGGGGAAAAGCTTTACTGCCACATCTTATTCTCCATCATTCTCGTACAGGAACGAGTAGTAACAGTGGTGTTGAAGAGCAACGTATACGGGAGTTAGTCCTCTCCCTCACCAATACTAATAATAATAATAATAATAATAATAATAATAATAATAATAATAATAATAATAATAATAATAATAAGGAAAAAGAAAAGGGAGATGGAAGTGTAGTAGAACAACAACTTGCGGATCTTGCAGTATTGCTGGAGATTGAACAGCGGGCAATGCGAGCAGCACTGGAGTTTGCCGTGCATGAACGTGATGCCGCCTTGCAAGCACAGCGAGAAGAAACACTTCTTGGTCAAGGCACACACACAACAATGATCTCACCATCACTATCATTACGGCATTCTGATGATATTTTACTTTCAGCTGCTGTGAATACGAGTGTCAGCCACAACAGACATGATGGTGAAGTGCAGTTGACAACACTGGCGAAGGAAAATGTGGAACTGCGTTGTGAACTGCAGCAGTGCTTTGATGATATGCGGCAACTCGCTAATGTGATTGAGAAATTGCAAGCCATGCAGAAGGAACTGCAGGAGAAACTACGAAAGAGTGATGAACATGTACGTCAGAAGGAAGATAGAATCTGGCGTCGGGAGATGCAACACACACGTGAGTTAATGCTTGAACGGGAGAAGGAGCGATCACTGGAATTACAATTACAACGTCTAGAAAAAAAATATCAACAATTTCAACAATATCAACATCATAATCCATTAAATGTAGTAGACTTGTCTAGTAATCCTTATCCTACACAACACAAGAAGAATACACCACGTGGATTGCAATCCCATCTTGTATCAACACCCGCTCGAAGTCAAAACAACACAGGACACAGCACTGCTGCTACTACTAATACCACCAATACTAATACTACTAATATTAATACTACTAATACTACGGAATCAAGTATCGTTAACGAGAGCAGGAATCAAAGTATGTACAACACCAGTGGGGGTATGACTTCGCTCAATGACTTTAGTATTACCCCAATAAAGAGAAACACAGGGAAAATGATGGAAAGGGAGAAAGATGTTGGGTCAACAACAAGAACAGGAACATCAGCGACCACAGCACTTTACTCTCCATCAATGATATTGCGCAAGGAGAACTTTGAAAAGGCACTACATGATATACACCCTCGGTGATTTGAGTGGATTAAAAGAAAAAAAAAAATAGTTAGACACAGTGTACAAGAAGAGTCGTTTTATTATTATTATTTATTTTATTATTATTATTATCATTATTATTATTATTATTATTATTATTATTATTATTATTATTATTATTATTATTTTTTTTTT